CGTCTTCTGCTTCCGATGGACAGACGTACTGCTGACGCAGATCTGCAGAACAAGATAGGCATTTCGAGACGAGGTAGCAATGTTCCATGGCTTACCTCGTACCTGAGCTTCGGGAGCATCGTCCAACTTGGACAACATAATTGTGAAGGCCTCGATGGCTTCTTCGTAACGTTGTGCACCATGCAGCGCTGAGTGTGACAACTGGTACCCAACATGAGACGAAGGGTTGAGTTTGGTGACCTGTGCATCGCCGAAGTCAACATTAGCTACGAAAACGTGGATGTGATCGCACCATTTGCGCGTCGAGTAGCGCATCCTCCCACAACATTTTACTTAACTTTGCCTCGCTGCGATTTGCGAAGAATATATAGAATGCAGAATCCAGGTCGATCGCCATCGAGTGTAGGTCAATAGGCTTGTCGTAATCGCTTGCAGCGAAGGCAGCCTCTCCATTGGCAGCGCAGAGCGCGCTGGATTGCTGTTTGGAGTCTGAGAAGAATACAGGTGAGAATTGTCGCCTGCGCGACATGACGGGTTCTAGACTCGCCGTTGGACCAATCAAGGCAGTCGGCCTTGGCGATTTCGTCACTTGAAGTCATCATGTGTTGGTATGATTTCACGGGATCTTGGAGTTTACCCGCACGAAGGATACCCTGAGGTACTGTCCACTCTGAGATCATCTTATCGTAACCTCCACTGAAGATGTGATTGCCGTCCATGGAGAAGGTGATGCATTCCGTGGGGGATGAGTGCTCGAAGACGGCAATGGTTTGTCGATCTGAGAGCTGCCAGAGACGAACATCCTTGTCACTAGATGCGGATGCAACGAGTGTGCCAGCAGGATGAATGGCAATGGCTCGGATGTGGTCAGTGTGGCCTGTCCAAGGATCACCGACCTGCTTCCAGGTTGTTGTATCCCATTCGCGTGCAGTAGGATCTTCCCTATTGCCACCTGTGAGAAGGCGTGTGCCATCGGGCGTCCACGCGAGTGACAAGTTGAATGTTGTGTGAGCCTTGAAGGATATGATGCGCTTCCTTGTGCCTGAATTGTAAATTTGAATATTGTGGTCTGTTGCGATGGCAAGAAGTTCTCCAGACGGTGAATACCGTATGCAGTTGACAAGATCACCACACTCGATCGGATCTGCTTGCAGCTGCCAGGTTTTGGTATTCCACAGTTTCGTCATTGTTTCGAATAATGAACCAGTGGCCAGCACTATTCCATCAGGAGAAAAATCCAGCGAGGAGATATAATAGGAGTGTGCTTCTATTTTGGTGAGTGATTCGCCAGTTTCTCCGTGCCAGACGATGACTTTTCCGCTTTGATCACCGCTTGCTATCAATTGCCCATCTCGTGATACCACCAATCCCATCACCGCATTGCGATGCCCCTCCATCTTCTTCAACACAACACCTGTATTCAAGTCCCACAGACGAAGCGTGTTGTCCTCCGAGCCTGTAACCATCCGACGTTTATCAGGGAAAACTGCAACTCCAGTTATCCCTTTTTCATGGCCTTTGAACGATCGCATGGGAGTGGTGATCGTAACGGGCTCCGACATTTTACTGTATGTTGATGGTATGGAATACGGACGAGGCTAAACTTTGGAGGGATTATGTCTTTCTCTAAGCTGCAGAGGGTGTATGGTGCGTTTTATGGTCCTTCACACCTGAGGCTCCCACGTTGTCAGGCCTGTTAGACGTACCACTGTGTCGGTGTGTCCGGTCTAAGTCGAGGGGCTTTGAGTGATTCCCTGCCAGTACGAATAATTGTGAATATTTATGGGCCTTTAAGCTCACCTGGCGACAACCTGACACATCCGGACATAGTGCCGACGTTCCTGATCCATTCATAGATGCCGGAGGCTAGGAAAGTCCCGTGCTTATGTCAGATACTCCTTGCTCATATAATTTGCTTCCGGTGGACAAATTTAGTGATTGCAGCGCTATTATTTGTACCTCTACCAACAAAAGGTGATTGTGATACGGAGACGAATGATTTTCAATAAGTCTTGTCACTTCGTCTTTGTCTTCCTGTGGATATCGAGGGTAGCCAAGCACAGAACCTCGCCAGTGACAGTGTCTAGTTTTGGCCCTATGGAACAACCAGTTGACATTTACATGCTGGTCTCCTAAATATTCGCATCTCGTGCCCGTTGTTCCTGATCAACAAGCGTCTACCAAGTCAGAGACGAGTAATGATTCAATATCGATTCATTGAGGTCCCACGTCTGTACATACACTGCCCTACGACTTCCTCTATTCCAAGACTCTAACACAGTATGCAAGTACCGTCAACATATCAAAGGACTAATGATTATTGACCGAAGCTCTCCAGCATGTTGCTGGCTACAGTCCTCAAGTCCTTTGCAGTAATGATGATCCCCTCTACCTGCTCTGAATCTTGCATCTCCTGTCCCATCTCCTGTCGTCGCCTGTTCTCTTGCATGAGCCCCTCCAACTCTTCGACCACGTAATCCACATTGTCGATGAGCTGCTCGAGATCAGATTTCGAAGCAATCTGCATATACCGCTTTGTGCCATCCACAAGGACAAGAAGGAGCTTGAAAGAGCGTGCGTTGTTAATGTCATAGAGAATATACTTCCATGCGCTTCTCATCACGTCCCACCACTGCTGCTCCGTATCAGAATCGAGCGATGTGATCGATGTCTGTTGAGGTGTGATTTGGAGGAGGATGCCAGCTATGTAAAAGGTATGCTGCATGGGTGATTCGGAATAGCAGGACTGTGGAATCATGCTAATGCACCGATCTATGTGGCGGTCCCCAAACAAATGGGGGTGCCAGTCGGAATTTCTTGCGAGGGCACAGACTAGTTCGAGATAGCACAAGTCGCGGTCATAATCGAAAAAGGGGTCGGCATCATCATTGGCGGGTGTTGTACCTGGGTGTGGACAAACCACAGACAAGATAGCGGAGGAGAGCTTAGTCAAAACAATGTCCCGTAGCCTCGCATCGTCAATGACATCGATTGAGGCGATTTGTTCTCGGGCACTGCGAGCAGCGCGAAGAGCGGCATGGCGTAAATGGAGAGGCATGTTGCTGTCCATGCAGGTGATGAGCCTCTCGATGAACAGATGTTGTTTGGCGGGGCTGCAGCACACCCCCATACTACCCAGTAGCAAAAGGATGTCATATGCCGCTTCGTGGTCGTCGAAATATATGAAGTCGAGGTAGTCGACCACCCAGTCGAAGTCTTCTGGCGAGTGGGATTTATTTCCCCACGAAGACAAATCCCACACCCGGGCAGGCTCACGGGATACCTTGGCAGCAGCGAAAGTGAAGTGCAGTGCATTTCGCGGAGCTGCCAACGAAACCGAGGCATCGGATGACCTCACTCGTGAATAAATCTTCCTGCACACATCCAGGTTCCGCATGGAATAGGTTGAACCAAGATAGTGACCTCCGGTAAGCTCAAGGATGCGCCAAATGATATCGAGAAGCTTCCATGCCCGGCGTGCGACTCCAGTGCTATCATTGTCAAGCTCGCCTCCGTCCCATGCCCAGGAAGCCTTTTGGAACTGCGCCAAAAGAGACTCGCTGAGTAGAGGCAGAGCAGAACTACATCATCTCTTTGTTAATCATGACAGAAAACTACCAAATGAGTCGATGGCACCTTTTATCAATCCGAATTATGTCTTTCTTGTCAACCTGAGCCCCGACCATGACGCAAGCAAGAAGAGTGCAATTGGCTATGATTTGATTTGACGGAGAGGATGCGGATGATAGCAATTTCGATATCACTGTTATCGCAAGGTTTTCTATGTATTTGTTCACTTGCCCAGTGACGAAGTGATAAGGAAGAAGATGTGACAACCGCTCATAGACAGAGTCAGGGCAAGTCTCTGGGAAAAAAGCACTCCAGCTACTGCCATCTGAACAAAGATCTAGAGTCGTGCTAGGCACCGTTCGGTCGGCTATGCGCACGTAAATCTCATAAAACACGTTGAAGTCTCCTGTCCCGCGGATAATAAATTCGCCGCGGTCAGGATATGCCTGAAGAACACGTCCATAGTATAGGTGAGTTAGAGCTGTTGTACATGCCGACGCCTTCTCCTCCAAAGACGGTACGATGCGCTGCTGAATGTCAACGCAGCTCATAAAAATATCAAAAAGCTGATGCAGCATGTCTGAAACATCAAGATCCAGGGGCCATTCGACCTGCGGGACAAGACTGGCAGCAGCGAGAAATATTTCAGGATCCGTAGATGTCTCGAGCAGCCACTTGACGCTATGCGCTTCAAGATCACTGGTGGGTATGTCGGGGAGGTTGAGGTTAAGGGTGTCATCATTCTCCGCCAAAACATCCGTATCCTGTTCGAGCGGTTGTGCCTCTGAGTCCACAACATTTGTTGAAGAACTCGGAACCAAAGAACGCAGCCGGTTATGAAGCCTGGTGATGAGCTGCCGAAGAGATCGTCGTGTGAATGTACCTATCGCAAGTACAGGGCCTGGGGAGTAAATGAGTCTCGAGTATCTGTGTAATAGTAGATGAGATTTTCACCTCTGAATACTTCAAACAATGGGGTCCATCCCGATCTGACGATACTAAACAATTGTTTGAGCACGCCTGACATGAAACGGTCAAAACCTGTGCACATGGAAGAAGACATAACTCACCTTGCAGTAACGTGGTGGGCCGCTGGAAATAACAGGAAACTCGTTTAAACACCAGGTGTAGAAACCCTGCAATGTTTATTCAGATGGGGAACGACCACCAGAATTCGGCGAAATGATCTTACTGTCGACGCGCAACACTCGTAATATCGTCGATATCGGTGTCTGAAATGGACAAGCAGGAGATATTAAACAAGCCATGACAGTCAGGGAATAAAACAGAAATCCGAAGACCGTCGTTCCGATGATGACCCAGGCGATGCTCGCCTGCTCGTACCACAAATTGGCGCTAAGAGCGATCCCAAAGAGCAGAAGAGAGATCTGAAGTAAGACCGGAAACGATTGCACGACGGCATCAAAATATCATGTGACGAGGCCGTCGAACTTCTCTTGCCTGCGCTTCCCTCGCTCCTCCTGCGAGCCGCGGCCATATCTGTTCGACTTGTAGTACCCGAGCCACTGCTTTCCCAGCACGGCCCCGAATGCAGCGAGCAAGCTCATGGACAAGCTCGCATATGCAATCGTTTGGATCCATAAGGTCGGCGCGCTCAGATACCACGTAGATGTTGGGTCTGCGGGAGTGGAGCCTGCCTCGGCGAGATTGCCGAGTCCGATCTGCACGAGTTGCTTCAAGAGGGCATTCGTAGTGTCGCCAGGGTCGGGACTGAGATTGGGCTCCATCGCGACGATGAAAGATGTGCTGACAGCAGAGAAAAGACCAGACTGGTCGAACATCAGTCTCCAAACGAAATACAAATAAGCACCCTGAACATACGAAGATCAAGACAATGTCCATGTCGGTAGCGTATCGCTCGAGGAACTCGCTGTCGTGTTCCTCTGCGACCCTTTTGTACACCCCCCAGAAACGAGACCGTTTGTCCTTTCCACTCTTCGACGCAATCGTCGAGTCCTGGAGAACATCCAATACCTGCTTCATGACATTTGCTCTGCGTGTGGGTGTGGTCAGCTGCGATCGCTTGGATTCAAGTTTTTGGCTTACAATTCGCTTAGAGTCGGCTCGTCATTCTCTGCCTCAAGCTTTGCCACCTCACTGAGACGAATGAGGAGTATGTTTGGCGTCATTACTGACAAGGACTCACGGAGTCAAATCCTCGACCAGTGGAACATTGGATGTACTTTGCTGTGTCAGAGGTCCCGCCGGCTGTGAAGGTCCAGCATTCGAGCTGCAGTTATAGTAAGGAGTGGCGCAGACGCCCATCAGGGAAGAAACACATACATCCCTAATGGCAGCTCCGCCAAAAGTTCAACATTTATCTTCTCCCTGTCTTGCTGTTAGACAAGTGATAGATTTCAGGAAGCTGCAACTCACTCTTCGATGAGTCCTACCACGTCGTTTTGTGAAAGAAGCTGCTCATCGTTGTGGGTGCGTTGATCCTCGGCGTCGCCGGTGGCTGATACTTGTGACATGAGGAAGTTATAGGTACTATTGAAGTCCAAGAAAGCTAGTGAAATTTGGAAGTGTCTGAGATGAGCGGACAGAGTGGACTCGGAGTGGTGCACAGCAAGTCATTTAGGCGGCTACGACTCGAACACGTGCTTGTGAGCGTTGACGCCGAAAGTTTTCATGAGAGCTCCCTGCAGTGAACTAAGACCTTATCATCATCATGGTGATGGATCCTTCTAGGCCCGGTCTTTATGCATGGCACTCCATTGAAGTAGTTCAAGCTGACATGTATTTGGCATCTAGTACGCTCACATAAGACGAGCTTTTGTCGAAGGGTGTGCACTGAGAGCTCTGTTTATAATGGAAGTTACGAACGACTCCTCGTGATGATGCGATGACCCCGAAATGCTGTTTGAGGAGAAGATTTCGTCAGGGGAGGGCAGCTTCATAATTTGCATGGTTGACGTGCTTCAACCGAGCTTCAATGTCGTAAAGTGGAGTCTTTGTCCAGTTGTACGTTCCGAGCGGATCGTGAGCTTGCGAACGTTGACGCATGTGAAAAGGGCCTTTGTAAGCGTCCATGTGGAGATTCGCATTCTCGTGCTTCGATACGAGAATGGACTTGGTCTGTGCGCGCACTCTCAAATAAATCCTCAACTTCGAAGATTCGCGCTTGAGTTCTTTCTCTTCTTCTTTGTCCTTCTCATTTGTGCGACGCCTTACATTTTAGCTCATTATTCTGACGCGTCAATCATGACCTCTGCCGTCATTCCTTCAGTCGCGTCAGGCAGCTCTGCGGCCACACCTTCCTCAACCCCTTCAGGCACCGGCAATGCTAATTCTTCGGCCACTTCCGTTCCTTCGGTTACGCAAATGACTCACGATCAAATCGTGGCCGAGAACGCGCGCCGAGTAGCAAGCAACGCTGCTTTGCAATTGCTCAGAGACGCTGGCAATCCAAACGTCGCACAAGACGAACCTCTAATCCCTCTTCCGTCTTCTCCCTCTGCCGGAAATCGTTTGCAGCAGTGGATCTCTGCTTTCGTCAATCTCTCCCCAACTTCTCAAGCTCAAGGAGCTGCAGTTCTTGAGGGGATAGCTGGAAGCTCCAGAAACGTCGCCACTAGACCGAATACCACTCCCATTTCCAAAGCTCTCTTCGACAGCTCCAAGGAGATTGCTACTTCTAGCGGACTCGACTCTACTTATAATTTTGGGATTCATCATTTCATCCAGGATCTCGCAAACGCCGGTGAATATTGTCCGTTGACTCTTTTCTCCAACAAGAATACGGAACGTCTTCATTGTGAAGGTCACTCTCTCAAACGCACCAAGGTCCACGTCAACGGAGTCTCTCACCACCTCTTAGATCTCTCGCAGTTTGAAAGTGAACGCGACCTTGATCCTCTTACTTGGCAGGAGGCCTTTCAGCGATACCTATCGTGGATCGCTGATGTTGGTGACGCACCGTCCGTCAAGCGATGGACCACACACTTCACCACACTCGCCAAAGACGAAGCCATTCATAAGAATTTTCGCGCCATACTGGAATTCGACATTGAGACTAGACAAAACTATGCTTTACGTCCGCACCAACATGACGAGGCTGAGTGGAGCCATCATTTACAGAAAAAGAAATATGCTACCTTGCAAGACGAACTCTTTCGTCATTCGCAGCAGCTTCGCTCATCCTTTGTCGATCATCCCATTAACGCTGGCTCTTCTTCTCGCTTTGAGCCTTATGACAAGGACTCATCCTCCAAGCGTCCTTTTAAGAAGAACGAAGGAGAATCTTCTTCCTTTCGTGACTCCAAGTCCGCCAAGTCAACAGACCCCATGTGCATCATCTGCGGACGCACCGGTCATCGTTTCTCGGCATGCACTGAAGAGACTTCGCCGAAAGGAGCACAAAATTTTGTGAAATACACAGACGGAAATCTCTGCAAACGTTCCAACAACTCTCAATTGTGCATCGGATTCAATCTCAACAATCCCCAACGTCCTTGCAAGCGGGACCACTCCAATCAACACTTATGCTCATTCTGCGGGCGACCTGAACACGGCGCTTTGTCCCGCTCCTGCCTCTAATCTCTCTGACGAGGACTTCTTCTTGGTGCACGTCCCAGATCTTGAGCCTCCCGATTCGCCTGCCCCCAGATTCATATACTTCGACAACTTACAAAAACATCCTTCTCCATACGATCTTGACGCTGATTACTCTCTTGTCAACACGCCTTACTCTCCTGAAGGTTTTGATCATCTGCTCGAACTCACCAATCTCACCCATCAATTTCCCGAGCTCACATGGAAACTTCGTCATGGTTTTCCCATTGGCGACATGAGTCCTCTCACTTCTACTTATACTCCGCACAATCTGCCCGGTGCTGACATATATCGTGAAGTCTGCGATGAATACATCGCAGACGAGCTCTCAAAGAAACGTTTCTCAGGCCCATACACTCATGAGCAACTCTTCACCAAGATTGGTCATTTTCACTCGTCTCCTCTCCAAGTCGTCGTTAAAAAGGGCATCAACGGTGCTCCAGACAAACACAGAGTATGTCGTCACCTCTCATATCATGGCTCGATGAGCGCATCCATCAACGACGAAATCGACGCGAGCAACTACCCTACAGAATGGGGCACTGCGGCGGAATTCGCTGACATAGTGCGTATATCTACATACATGTACTTCTCTCTCTTGGATGCTCTTTGCGAGTCTTGCACTCGTTCGAAGGCACGATGGACTAGGACGAAAGCAGTGAGGGGAGAGCTCTATGATGCGTGATGATGTGTTACACTATGAACAGAGTTTGGCTATGTGCGCGTGTCGCTGACTAAGCTATGGCTATCGCCAAAGGACCAACTGCCTCTTGTCTATGTCTCTTCCTTTGGTCTATGCCTTGGGACCCCCGGTCCATGCACCCCCCTAAAAAACAACCAATGCCGTCCTCGGCGTTCTTCCTACTATCACTTCTATTGTCCTATTCGTTCTCTTCTTCATCCGCTTCGTCTTTTGTCTGGTCGTTCTCTTCTTCTTCATGTCCCTTCTGTTTCTCTGATTCTTTCTCCGTTCTATCTTCTGTATCTGCTTCCGTGTCGTCGTCTCCTCTCTCTCTGATTCTGCGTTCATGCTCTTCTTGTTCTCTTGCTAACTTCGTTCCCGTTCTCGGGGTGAATGCTCTGAGTCGTCTTGCACTAAACTCTCCTTGAACTGGGATTCCGTTCAGCGCTTCAAGCTTGTACGAGTTTAGGATCTTCTCTCGTATACGCCTTGGGATTGACCATTTTGGTATGAGCTTTCGTTCCGCTTTGAACGTATAATCTAAATCATTGCGATATACTTGAACTAGTTGTCCGATTCGAAATATAACCTCACCTGGCGCTCGTTGTAGCAACTTTTTATCAAATGCTGCCTTCCTCTTGATCGCATGTCGCACTACTTCATCGTATCCGTCCAACCGTTGTTGTTCGACGTATGCTATTTGAGTTAGTGGGTCTGAAGTGCGTGTCGCTGACGCGCTTTCTTCTACATTCGTCTTCGGTGTGTTGACTACTAATCCTAAAAGAAGTTCCTTTGGAGAAAATTTCAGCGCTGGCAATAATCGATAGTTAAGAGCGTGCACCGCATCCTCCAGATGGTCTGGCCACGATTGTGTCAAGCCGCTTTCTGTCGTTTTTTGTCCTTGACTTTGATCTTCTCCTAAACTTGGTGCGCATAAGCGTTTTAAAACGTGTAGTAAAAGCTTATTTGTTCCTTCTACAAGGCCGTTGATCCACGGGGAGTACGCCGCTACGATGTGTACTTTGCATTTCTTCGATTCGCAGAAGTCCTTCACTGCTTCGTTGTTGAAGTGCTTGCCACCGTCCGCCATGAATGTTTCCGGTGTTGTGAATGCGTTGAAGATGTTCTTGAGTCCTTCAATCGTCGTTTTTGCACTACCTGATGTTTTATATTTAAACACCCAGATATGCTGCGAAAACGTGTCCAAGTACACGCCGAGCGTATTGTATCCTCCTTTCCCTTTCGGGAGGGTGAGATAGTCTCCAACTAACAGTTCGAATGGGTGCCGCCTGGTTATTGGCTCTAGTAGCGAATTTATGTGCGTCGGTCCGAAGTTCTTGCATTTTGCGCAGTCTTTGATGGCATCTAGGATTGACGCGTCTAGCTTGGGGCTGCATATTCAGTCCAGTAATGCGATTTTGATCGCATCTCGTCCCCAGTGGCCTCCTTCTGCATGCTCTTGTGCTGCTAGTACCTTGGCTTCTCCTCTCGAGACACATTCTACTCTTGTCCTGGCTCTCGTCGTTGTGCCACCTCGTAGCTTCCAGAGCCTCCCTTCTTCTATAACGTACTGTTCTGCTCTGTGTCTTGCTCGCCGTTTCTCTCTGATCTCCGTGGCTTGATCTAGGTTACATATAGCTTCTACGACTTCCTTGAATACTGGCTCGTTCTCGAATCGTGTGCGAAGCTTGTCTACTTGTGCGTCCACCGTCGTAACGTTCATGATGTCGTTAATTAGTCCTATCCT